GTTGGTGGGTTGTTTTTTGTTTTTTTTTATAATTATTATTCAACTTATCTATGGGATAGAACATCCATAATACCTCAGTACAAATATCCTTTCTGCCTACAAAGATTTGAGCATCCTTGCTAGCATGAAACTACCACTCTGGTATGAAATCATCATCTCGCACTGAGGTAGCTCCATGTTGCAAGAAGCAGAGTACTCTTTGGGATTGAAAACGATGGTGAAAAGCTGAGTGGTGAAACCCATTTACTTGAAAGCAACGAAACCTGGATTGCAGATCCTGCTCCAGGAAATACTTTGGTAAAGCACCACCAACACAGCTTGATGCTTACAGGGAAAGGAGTCTGGAGTCTCACAGGCAGGGGAGGAAACTGAACCTTGGCCTCTCCTTTCTAGGCAATGCTCAACTGTTGTGTATCTGCTTGTATCCACTGGTGCAAGTGCGGGAAAGGGACTTAGTGCAGTGCCAAGCATGCTCTCAGGATGGCAAGTCCTCATCCTCCTGTCTCATGACTCCCGGCAGGGCAGAGACACGAGGCATACGCTCAGCTGTCAGGACTGTGTTACGCCCCTATGCATTAACATCAACTTTGATACCTGCAAAATTAGGCATGGGTTCATGGATGCCAGCGATACCTGTGAATAGTTGTCTTACACACTGTTGGAAAAGGATGATCTGCTTATTGTGGGAGAGCCATGTGAACATCCTGGTCCTCATTGACCTTCTTTCTGCTGTCAGTTGTCACTTCCCAGGCCCCACCAGCTCTCTTCAAGACACATGCCCAGCAGCTGTGTGAGACTCTACCCCCACAAGGATGGATGGATGGATGCAACTCTAAGGCAAAGGCCTTAATTCATCCAATGATAATACAGCAACGAAAACAAGAAAGGTGCCTTCTGCTACATGTTTGCTGAGAGGAAAGTGACTCAGTTGCAGGGGTAGGCCACTGAAATGCACAGCGCATCACTTCATTGAAGGAGGAACCTACCTTAATCCCATTGCAATTTTATTTATTTAATGACAGCGATGGAAGAGATTGCGAGAGGAAAGGCAGCATGTTCTAAGGTGCCAGTTGGGTATGGTTTCTTAAAACTAGCCCCTTAACCCTGAAGACTTACTTGCACTACTAAACCCAGAAAGACAAGAGAATTGGGTTTAATGAACAGGACAACACACCAAAGGAGACCTCCTTGTGCTGAGCTGCTACTCAACCAGAACAGAAACTGCCTTAATATAGCAGCTAGGTTTTGTTGTTTTGTCTTCAAAAACCTCGTCGATGCAGTCCTTCACGTTCTCATTTGTCATGTTGTGTTTTGACAAGGTCCTGACTATTTCACCTTGAGCTGTCATTAAAACACTCGTGTCCATCCTGTCGTGGCCAGGAGCCTGGAATCATCCTTGCAGCGTTGGGTTAGAAGACACTCCACTTGTGATTCTTGATACTTCTAGGACACACGTGGCGTAAGGGAAACATCTGCTCCAGTGAATGAGATGGAGGAAGCACATTAATCCAGCAGGTACTTAAGATCCCAAAGTAGATTTAAGGAGTGGGATCAGCAACTCTAAATATAACATTCACCCTTGCTTTTGAGATAACAGTATGTCAAGCAGTAGTGCTGCACAGTCACTGTTCAAATATTGCACAGAGAAGAGATGCCTGCTGAGATTAAGGTTACAAAGAACTTTCCCACAGTTAAGTAACGGGTGATGGTTTGGGCAAATGTTTATTATGCTAGCCTAAGGGAAAAGGGATCAATCTCCCTTTAGTAAACTCTGCAAGGGAAGCAACTGTAAACAAGAAACAAGTAAGAGTAAATGTAAGGCAAGTCACTAGCACTTTATCTTAATACAAACTTAAATCAGCAACTTGCCCTCGAGATGAACAATAGATCAATTAATGACAACAGAATAATTTTGCACAGAAAAGCAAGAAGTGAGGTTACAGGTAATGCTGCACACACAAGGATGTGATAGCTGCACGCACCTGTCCTACTTAGAATGGTAAATTCCAGATATGCCTCTGCATCAGGCAAACTACCCCCCACTCGGCTATAAAAAGCAAGATTGTTTTAACCAAAAAGCCAAGAAAGGAAGTGTCTGGGTGCTGCAGCAATGATTCCCTTAGATTGAGAGGGGAAAAAGCACACAGCAGGGACAAGCAGAAAGAATGTATCTATAGATATGTACATATACCACAGTGCTGTAATTTTTGTATGTAGCAGTAATGTAAATAAATGTATGGTTTTTATAAGATGCATATTATAAAAATCTATAAAGGCATATTTTTAGTAAAAACAATGCTCTACTTCTTTTGTAAATAGTTCTCTTCAGAATAAAACAGATCATTTATACAATACCGTCTCAGCTCTCAAGTCACTGTTTATCTTGCCTAGCTGCAGAACAACCTCACTTTTTGCACTGTCATCTTAACACCCAACAGCATCTTTAGTACTTCATCACCCAAGAAATTCAGCCACGTAAAGCACTTGCATGTGTTCAGAAGAGAGCTGCTCTGGCGAAAGAACATTTGAAGCATTTGTATCTCCTGCCACTCAGAAAAATAGAAAGGCAAGCTTGTAAATCATCTCCACCTTCCAGCCATTTGTATCATTTACTGGCGAGACATTCAAGACTTCAACGTAATGAGTTTAGACACAAAACACAGATGGACAATGAAATACCTCCAGCTCACACCAGCTGCAGTTTGGACCATCTACGTATCCTCAGGATTCCCCCCTACGTAGTCATACCACAACGGTGTGGAGAGATGAAAAGGCACCTTCCCACAGCAAGTTTTCATCACACTTCTCCAGGAGTGAGGACTTGCCTTCCACAGCCTGCTTGTGCCTCAAGGGCAGGCGGGGGTAGGGGAACGCTAAGGGCAACAAGCACAGCAATGGTCACGTAGTTCCTATACAGAAACACGTACATTCATTTCCTGGGAAAGCAAGAAGAGACTCCAGACACTTTTTAATCGACTCAGGGTCTGACCCCTGCTGCCTTTGAGAAGCTTTCAAAGCTCACTCAACACGTCTTGTTGAATAGAAAGACAAAAGATTATAGCAAAATCATGAGCATCTCACTTTAACACAGAAATAAGGTTACCAGTTCCAGTTTACTCTTTCATTCACATTTAAAACTAGAATAGCAATTAAACATTCGAAAGCATTAATTGTGGCTTTGCCAACAGCCCCTCCCAGGAAAAAAACCCTCTACATACAGCAGAAGAGCTCACCCCTGGCTTGCCACCCTCCACCTCCAGATGCTGGACAGCAGAGGAAACACAGCCTTGAAAAAGATTTGGCAGCTTGTAACCTTTATTTTTAGTTTTTTAAAATTATTTAAAAAGCATAATTAGAAACTTTCATTACAGAAATAATCCTAGCAAACCAGTTAGACATTCCATTGCTCAACATTTAGGAAACTTCACATCAGCACCACTAAAGAGACAGTCCCCACCCCTTCCAATCGAATAGTCAGTGGCAAGAGCAGAGAGGTAACTGCTCCTCTACAGCCAGCTCTAGGAAAAAACAAAAAGAAAAATCCCACTTTAAGCCAGGAAGTTAGACACCTGGATTGGCAGAGTTCAAACCGTGGTCACAAAGACCTGGACTCAAAGGGGACCAATTTTTCCATTTAAGAGAACACTCCAGGCTTGGGTGCACCATTTCCTCATTTTATTGCATCATTTCCAGTAAATTCAGACATTTTCTTTAATTCTGCCTGTATGAAGTTACTCCCTCCTAGATCTGCACACATGCTACCACAAGAGTCCCAAAGTAACACAGGTGGACCCTTTAATCTGAAAGTGGTAACCATCACTGGACAGCTTCATTTCAACAGGAAGGCTTTGAGGACTGGCCCAGCTCCTTCCTTGGGCACACACCACATCCGACACCAGAGAGCAGACAGGATGGACTGGTGTCACTTAAGCCGCCACTTTCCATAGCTGCTCAAGTCTTACAATTATCAGAGCTCACACTAGCAATATCATCCCAGCTCATTCTTATTCTTGGGTTACCAATGAAAGATATGTGAAGAAAAGAGATGGGTGAAGGCAGCTGGATACATACTCCCAGCACCTGAACTGATTAAAAAAAGTGTTACACATTCATTGTTTGCATTTTTTAAAAAGTCTTTAAAGTGATTGATTGTGATGTGATTGTATGATTAGGGCTCTTACCGCAACCCATAAAATCTAAAAAAATGCAGGCAAAATAAGTGACTAAAATTTAGCCTCTCCTTGGGGGAGTGGGAGGAAGGGAGAGAAGTGGGCTGATTCAAAGCTCATGGACATCAGTGAATCATATCCTACCAATCTAAGGCCAGTGATTCCATAGGGCCACTTACTGACAAACAGTACATCCACCTTCAAGGTCTTAAAGGAAGTCATACCTTCCAGGCCTTTTAGTCATTTTAAGAAAAAAATTATATTTTTATTATTATTTAGGCAATTATTCAGGTGCTGAGCATGTACTTTCAGCCCAGACATTTGATATTTTAGTTACACACACATACACTCTCCACCTTTAACTACATCTACTCAGGCTGATGAACTGAGCTCTTGTTTTCCCAGAAAGACCAACAAGGGCCAGGAAAACGTTGCTGAGCATAGCGAGACCAGTTTGTTTCCAAGGGTGATCCTCCACCACCACACAACCCAAGCAAGCAAGCTTTCCATTTCTTTACATTAAACAGCAGTCCTGCTTTCTAACAGAAGAATCCTGGGAATGATCCTGCAGCAGCTTTCATATTCAGACATCAATCTAGAATGGCTGGATTTATTTTCATGCCTTTTCTCTCTCAAAAACAAAAGCTTTGCCACCAAAATTCACATTCAAGTTCAGATCACCTATTTGTGGACAGGGCAACAAGGAGACATTTGGGGTTTTTGGCAGAATCACATGATTTTTGTTGTTCTCAAAAGAAATGGACCCTCACTTAGGACCCTGACAAAACCAGAAGCAGAGGTCAAAGGAGTTAAACTTTTTTTTTTTTAAAAAAAAAAAAAAGCAAAGTTTTATCCAAATAAATCCCACTTCTGCAGGTCAGTTTGTTTTTCGGTATCTTGATACGAACTAAAGGAGAGCACAGGTACAGCTGGGCTGCAGCACACGAAGGTGAAACCCCAGGCCCCGGCCACAAATCTGGATCATGGCAAACTGAAATTCAAGGCCCCAGCAGCAGCACCAGCTGCCAGCCCAGGGGCTGGTGAAGTGAAACCCCCAGCTCCAGCAGCAACACCTGCAATCCTGGTACCTAGAAAAACAAAGCCTGAGCCCCAGTAAAAGCCTGGAACTCCAGGTGAAGCCATAGGCCCCAGGGGCACCAGTTGCCAGCCTGGAGCCCAACAGAAAGGAAGCCAGAGACCCCAGGAAGCAGTTGCTGCCAGCCCGGGGCCAACTCGAATTAAGAACTTTGCACTATTTCTTTAAAAAGATGAACTCTGCAGTCCATGATTGGTTGACATTAAGAAGGCATAAGCCAAAGCGACAACGGGGAGGCGAGGCTGGTTAAAGCAATATACATTATATACAAACTGTTGGGTTAATTAGTCCACTTGGTAGGCAACGTCCTTCTTGTCTACAAGGCGCACTGGAATGAGCAGGGGAGGAGAGGGGGGCAAGATTCCATCCGATACCTTCTTGGCACTGAAGTAGTAAGGTGCCAGCGCCTCTTGATAGAAAACATGGAGAAAAAATAATCTTTAAATAACGGCACAAAACTGAGAAAGTCCTCCCAAAGCCTGCCCCAGTGGAATTGCCCGAGTCTAGCTGGAGGGGCTGATCTGTCTGAGAGCAGAGTCTCTGCAGCAGGGAAAGGGCATTAGCAGCACCGCTTCTTCCTTTTACTGTTCTTCGTTAGCTTCACCACATCATTCTGTTGCTGCTGTTGCTGCTTTGCTAAGTTTTCTTTCTTTGCTCGCAGGACTAGCTCTGTAATGCAATTAAACATCTGCAAGAGAAACAAGCAAGTTCAGACCACCCAGGAACTCGGGCTAGCTTTTGTGGGATGCTGTTCTTTTGAAATAATTCCATTCCTCCAGATATTTCAATAATGGTTCAAAGATCTTCCCCTGCCCACTACAGGCCAAGTAGAAATCCAGTACCTTCCCGACCCACTCCCAAGTTAAATCAGTAACACCTCTATCCCCTTTCCCAAATCAGTAAACAGAAACAAGTCAGTTTGGCAACTGAGGCCAAGAGTGAAGATTACTTTTAGGAGGTAGGACTGCCCATTCTCCCTAATAGCAAGTCTTTCCTGAGGGCATGCCTAATATGTTAGCACTGTAAAGCTAGTGAAAATGCAACATGGGCTCCTTCGTTTCACTTCCCCAACTCTTCCAAACACAGTTGGATGTCTTTTTTTGACATTCTATCTACTCACTTGCAACCTGCATAAACCATTTTATCTTTCTTCCTCAATGGAAAGAACACAATTGATATTTTTTCCCAAACCATTATCCCCAAAACAATTTTATCTATACTCTTCTGCATATTATATTACCTCTTCCACATTAATATTTTCTTTGGCGCTGGTCTCAAACAATTGGATCTCCATCTGTCCAGCAAATTTATAGGCATCTTCTGTTTCTACCACTTTTCGCTCTGGGTCATCATTTTTATTTCCCACTAAAAGAAGGAAAGAAAAAAAAAAAAAGTCAGCTTGGTACTTCAGCAGGTCAGCCCACTAAATAAGACCTTGTAACTCTGGTTAGCAAATTACCTAGTATCCGGCAGACATCATCACAGTTTTGATTAATTTCATGCAACCACCGTTTTACATTCACAAAAGATTCTGCACTCGTTACATCGTAGACAACAATGACTCCATGGGTTCCTCTGTAATACCTATGGAGAGGAAAAGACAATAAATGTTAACTCAGGTTGTGTATCATTTTCTTGGCTCTTTCACTTCGCTTCTACAAGATTCATAACAAAGCTCCAACTTACAGCAAACAAGTGCCCCATTTTCTTTCCACTGGGAGTCATTTAGCTCTCTTCCAACAGCTAGATCACATGCTATTCCTCTAAACCTACAGAGTTCCCTGCTCAATTAGTCTATACAAGTAGGTTTCAAAGTCCAAAGACTGCTGTTTACTTCCTTACTCAGGTTCACAAGACCTTCAAAGACGAATACTATCTTCCAGCTAGGTGACCAAAAGGTAGTGGTGCTCCCCATACATCCTCAGAACTGGCTGTGATGCAAACTTCCACATTGTACAAGCCACATCAAGTTTTTGCAATATTTTTTTTAACTGTGAAAGATCACTTACAGACTAAAATTTCAGCAGATCTCCAAATATACTCAACCCTCACAGTTCTCTTGCGCTCACAAAAATTTCTGTCTTGTTGAGCGACTGTGTTCTGATTACACCTTCCTACTCAACAGATCGACTCCATATGTGCATTCAATGCGCTCTGCTACCTTTAGCCATTAAAAATAAGCTTCATTTCAGTTTATTCCCATTAGGCTTGGGCAACCAGCACCTTTAAAAGATGATAAGCAATTCTGATATGCAAGAAAATTGTCAGAATTAAAGTTCCAACGTTATCACCTGCACAAACCTACTAAAGGCGGACAATATGCGCACCATGAAAACGTTAGATAAAAAAAGGAAGCTCCACCTTCTCAGTTTTCAGCCACATTCATGGGGCTACAGGGTATTTCCCTTACTTCAAATTAGTTAGCTTTGACCAAAAAAAAGTAACTGAAACAGTGGACAGTGAGGTCTTCAACAGCATCTAGTTTTGATTAGCCTTATTTTTTCCCTTTTATTTCCTCTTCTTTCTTAGGATCAATATTAAGATTTTTAATAAACCAAATCCAATTATCCAGCATACCAGAATTGAAGATTTTCCCCTTAAACTGTGACAGCATTTCTAGACTTTGATCTCTTACTATAAGTACCTCTCACAGCACACTCCCTTCCACCGCATTGTCAATGTCCACTGTGACCGCTCTGGTCCTCTTTGAAGGAGTTATTCCAACTCAAGCACACACACCCCTGACCTTCAAAGCCTTTTAATCTAATCCAAATGCACTTTCAGAAGATCTCAAAGCTTCTGCTCACTTCTGCTACTGATGCGCCTGAGCAAGTCACTCTTTTCCCCACCTTCAGCCTCATCAACTCTTGTGTAACAGAAGCCACCTGCCTTTGCAAGCCATCAAGAGTTCCACAGACAGTCCTGTATCACACATGGAGCACACGCATCTCCCCCACCCCCTTGTGCTCATGATCGCTTTGTAGTGATAGTCACCAGGTATCAATATTCCTCTGTGACATGACACATACTCTATGGAAGCAGGGGAGCCCGCTCCTACTGCCCATCTGGGCACTTTCAGAAGACAGTCAAATACTTCTTCCATGCCATATTCTACCCGTGATTTATGCTGTACATTCACTTTCCTTGGCAAGAATTATCACCAGTAAGAACTACTTATTCCCAGCCCATAAGAGATCTTGCACTTTCAAATACTCCAGTCCATTTGCAATTAGTTCCTTTAACAGTTTTAAAACTTGCGACTGCACTGCATTTGTGCTTTACTTCATTACAAGTTCAACTTTATTTCATAACTTAGATACTTTAGAGGAAAAAGTATTCCACAGCCTGAATCCACACGTTGCAAAAATAAACCATCCTCTCCTGACACCAACATGCACTGCACACTGGCTTTGATGAATACTGTTTTGTGTGATAGCATCAGAAAGGGAAAGCTCTCCAATCCTACCAACACACTAGATTTCTCTAAATCTGAACAATAAATTATGTTCAAGCTCTCCCATATCACCTAATAGTATTTTAATTCAGCAACCCTCAGGCCGACCTACTATTTCCTCCCTAACACTGAGCATTACATGTGCAAAGACAACACTCAGCCTTTAGAGAAACGCAGTGGTTCAGCTACACCTACGCAGAGCTGCTTCATTCTGCTGTACACACCATAAAACCATGCCTGGTATCCCAGTCATCCAAACCAGAGGACCCAACGGAGCACCCTGCTGCTCCTACCTTGCCCACGCACCTAGGTTTTCTTCTAAGCAAAGCATATGATGGAGGGGAGTAGAATAACACGCACCCTGCACATACAGATCCCACTCCTGACGTGTCATCAGCACAGTTGTCGTTTGCTCTCAGGGATGAGGACTGTGGGCTGGACCGTGCACCACAGACCACTACGGCACTGAAAACTCTGCAGGAGCTGGGAGCTCCTGCCACAAAGCACTAATATTGCCAATCCCCTCAAAAATATTTTCCTTTGTGCAAGACAGCAAACCTTGACTCCTGCTGAGCTCCTACAAGCATACAGTGCTTCTATTTTTAGAAGGGAAAATTGTCTGGCACCTCGTTCTAGAAAGGTTGCCAACCCCTCATCTACACTAAAATGTCATTTTCTCCACTGGCTGACATTACCTTTTAGCAGCTTGAGAGATAAGACCATGACTACCTTTTATTCTCTAACTCTTAAGCCCTATAATACACATTTTTCTCCAAAAGCTAGTCATGCTACTTTCTACCATTTATTAGATATAGCCTTGTGTCCTAAATAACATTTTAGGCTTAACAAGTACAGCAACCCCAAGCACAGGACAGTACTATAAAACAAAATCTAATTTATCCTACCCCATACTTCAGAATGATGCACTGCAGAATTGCTTTTATAACAAGTTGTAGGCTTTGGCGAGTAGAGAACAGATGGGGCTTTTGGCATTCAGGGAGGAGTAGGTGTAAATTTTGTGCTTTTGGCAACCAAGAGGTAGTTGAGGCTTTGACACTAGGGAAGGAATGCCTTATCTTCTTCCCATCCACATTTTAGGGAAGATGGAGACCATAGAAATGACAGCAGAAGAGAAATGAAGTTCTCAATCTCAGCCTCCCATTCAAGGGCTAAATGACTGCTGCTAGCTGTCCTCTACATAGGTGCACTAAAACCTAAAAAGCCAGTACCTGCTACCACTCCTAGTGATAAATACATCAATGAAATACAGGGGGAAAAAAGTTATAGAACAGTTATTCATGTTGAGAGTGTCCATGAAAGTATTCTGTTGAGGTAGACAACCAAACCTGACCTGTATACGCCCTTGGATGCTTGGTAGTAGCCAACTATCTTCCATATGGTTGGAAAAGTTACCTAGCTCTAAAGGCTTTACATTTAGCTTTGGTATGGAAAAGGCTTAAGAATGATAACACCTAAATTGAAATAAACACAGTACCAATTATGTTGTTTGTTCTACCTACAGAATTATATTTAAAGACGTTTAAAGACATAAGCTTACTGCCTTTGAAAGATCACCTACTAATACTGCAAATTCGATACAGAAAATGTTCAGAACTGGTTTACCAAACCATCATTTCCTTCAGCCATTTGCATTCTCCCCTCGCATCTCAGAAGATAAACTTTCTAAGCAGAAGGGAACATTTTGCCATTCACTGTGGTACTGCCTACTACAAGAAACCAGTAAGAAAGTTCTCAGGTGTCCTCTAGTAAATGCTTCCCAAGATTAGCAAACAACTAGTTTCATGAAGCATGACGGTAGCTACATCAGATTTAGAAGAGACAAAGTATTATTGACTGCATCAGTTCAGTGGGGCACATGTTCATTTTTCGGGGGCGGGGGAAGTAACTGGCCAACTTTAAAGACAGGTCACTGGTTAAATCCAACATCTTTGTTAATATTCCACTAGTTTCTAGTATATACATTTCCTTGGGTTTCAGTCCTCTAGATTTCTAACCAGTTCCAGAGACTTCTAATAACCTGTTTTCATACTCATCTTTTTTTCAGGTTCCTGGAAGCACATCTATTGTCACCTGTCAGTTGACTAGTCTTTTGACCATCAATATCTGGTTTACAAGACACAGCAATTCTATAATCTCAAAAAACTTATCCCTCTCTTGAACGTGCCATTCCACACAAACACACAGCAGAAAATCTCTCTGCTACCACTATTCATCCAGAGCTAGCATCTGACAACTATTAAGAGTCCTGAATTAGGACAAAGTAGTCCTATCTATAAGAACAAATCAAGGACAGGAACTGGTTGTTCATGCATCTTAAGTATTCCTGCTAATACAGCTGAGTCCAGGCATGCTAAATCTCTGGTGAATTTAAATGAAATTTAGAGCTGATGATGTTCCATGCCAACCAAATTCACACAACTTAGCCTCTTCTCCCACTAGGCACCAGCTATCCCAGTATTTCCACATTTAATAGACAGCAAAAACAGCAGCTGTCTTTTATACTTCCCAATCTGAAATTCTGATCTGGTTTATTTCTCCTGTTTTGCTGCAAAATACTCCAGATCAACTTGACTTATTTCCCTTAACAGTTTTATTCTGTTCTTGTGTAAAATCAAAATAGTATATAACCTTTTAATGTTTCCCAATTTTCTACGACTAACTTCCTACCACCTCTACCATTTTGCAATTCTAGGTCTACACAGCAGTAATTCCAACCTATTACTATTATTACCAGATGGGCTCCAATTTCAGACTTCCTTGCCAGGCTTGGCTCTACATCAATCTGAACTCTACCTTTAACTGTAAAGGGACTTCCTAGACTACAGTAATGCTGAAGGAACGCCTTTTTATATTCTTAACCTCAATCTAGTCAAAGACTAAACAAAGACTACTACAGTGTTGACAGTGCACTTGCAGTCCACCCATGACTTGGTAGCCAAGCCCTTTTGTAAGTAGTAGCACGGTAATTCGATTTGTCACTCAGATTGGGATAAACAAATCAGTCACAGTATTACTTTGCCAATTAAAAAAGATAGAATCCTTTCTAAAATCTGAATCTTGTTATCTCCCGTTTTTATAGGTGATATGTTTAGGTCCAGAGCACCTCTTGAAAGGTATCTGTGAACACTAGACAGTCAAAGCTAGGGGACCTAGCAGCAAGAGGAGTCCTTGTGACAATGTAACCAGCATTCCCAAAGTGCTTTCCTCAGCACTTCAAATGCACTTGGACACAGGAACTTCTTTGCTTAAAGTTGCACAAAATTAGTATCTTTCTTCCCTGACCATGGAAGATTCTCTAAGTACTTTACCAGAGACAAGGCAGGAAAAGTGGGGCCCTCACTTCCCCATGAGTAAAATATACCTCGCTTTGGTAAAAGGCTATGCAAAAGAAAGCAGTAGCAGAGTTCAAACAGGTCATGGAGACTTTATAGCATCCTTCCAGTACCTAAAGACGGCCTACAAGAAAGCTGGAGAGGGACATTTTACAGGGGCATGTAGTGATAGGACAACGGGTAATGGCTTTAAACTGAAAGAGAGTAGCTATAGATTAGATATATAAGGAAAAACTTCTTCACTATGAGGGTGGTGAAGCACTGGCACAGGCTGCCCAGAGAAGCTGTGGCTGCCCCCTCCCTGGCAGTGTTCCAGGCCAGGTTGCTTTGGTCAACCTGGGCTAGTGGAAGGTGTCCCTGCCCAGAGCAGGGGTTTGGAACTAGATGCTCTTTAAGGTCCCTTCCAACCCAAACCACTCTGTGATTCTATGGCACATATGCCTTTGAACCATTGCAGCACCTCCATTTTAAATATTAATCAAAGAAAGAAAAAAAAAGTACATAAAACACTACACTAAGTCTGATCTGCAGCTATTCCTGTTCACAAAAGGAAGCCTCCTTTCCTGGTATTCCCCATTCAGTGCCGGATACCATGGCTTTTTGAACTAGCTGGCATCAGCCCCACGAACCAACCGTCATTAACGCAGCCCTGAGTCGTGTCAGGGAATCTGAAAACAGGAAGGCCATTTGCTGACTCAGCACTAATTGGGGCACTCTGTGACTACTAGCCTGTGCACACAGCTGATGGGAGCCGCAGCACTGCATTGCTGCCTCCCCCTCACCACTTCCTGCCCAAAGCTGCCTGCAGCACTGAAACAAGAAGTGAGGTCACACACAGGAACCCTACAAGAGGCAACCAAGTTTTTTCAAGCTAAACACTTAAGAAACAATGGAAGTAATCCAGTAATATCCGTATAGGAGCGCAGAGGAAAGGGGCGGTGCACACATCAGGTTCAATTTTGCCATGTCTAGCTGTTTAGGTGTAACACAGATGCAACCAATCTCATTATTTTTATGTCTGAGTAAGTTAACCAATACATCAGCTGAGAATGATCCTCCTCTCAAATAGGAGCCAAAAGAGAAGTCAGTCATTAAAGTGAAACACCTAGGTCTTTCAAGAATCATTATTTTTTGTTAATACCCAAAGGAAATAAAAGTTCCATTTCCAAGGGTATTTTTTCCCTCTTCACCTAGTGCCATGGTAAGCAGTCCCACCTTCATTGCAATCAGTTTACAAACATACTTTATTCTTAGTTGCCACCGCTGCAGCTCTGGGTGTGGTTTCTTCAGGAACAGGAAAAGCTGTGCACACGCTGTTCAAAGGGACAATGAGCATGAAACTGAACTCGAACCAAGGAAAAGGTTAACTTCATGTGGGTGTCTGCTTCAACAGAACCCCACACAAAGAGAGCCGCTAAAATGCTTTTGTCCTAAAAGAAAACTAAATATTGGAAATCCTATTCTTCGATCTCAAAGCTATTCATTAGTTATATGCACTCTGTACTTCTGCAATACATTCAATCAAAGGATGACCTTCTCGGACAGGCTTCAGAGACAAGTTTTCTCTTATATGCAGAACAGCAAAAGAAATCCAGTTCTACCATTTGGAAACTAGCAGCAGAGGAATAAGACAAAGCCATCACAGAAATACACAGGAGAGTAAGGAAATCCGAAATCCGTTTCAAATCTAGCCATATCATCACCACCGCTACCAGTTCTAAAACAGCTGAGAGAAGTCCCACTGTACAGACTGCAAAGCTATCATTAGCAAATCAACTGCAACATTAAAATGTCTAAACCATAACTCTTAAGTTCTACAAGATCCATACAGAAAGCTACACATCACAAAGCCCAGTTATACTCACGTTGATGTAATAGTCCGGAAGCGCTCTTGTCCAGCTGTGTCCCAGATCTGTAGCTTCACCTTCTCTCCATTGATCTCAACCGTCCGGATTTTAAAATCCACTCCAATTGTGGTAATGTAGCTGCCTGAAGGGAAAGCGTTGGTAAGTGAGAACCTAAGTCTTGTTTATTTTGGATGTCCCAAAGCACACTTCTGAACACTATTTGGCAGTAGCTCTCAGACCTTGTTGAAAGGAGAAGAAGGTTCCCCCTATCTGCTTATCATTTAAAATTCCCTATCAGGTCATGCTGATCTGCCTATTTTTATCTGCAGCTAATAGCATTTTTCTAGCCATAAAGCCACTTCCTTCATGCCACCCTTAAAATTTAAAATTCAGTGTTACAAAATAAAATTATTCTTCTACTGCATTGGTGGTCAAGAGTAAGCACCCACATATCTCAAGAAATGGACAGTAACTATGCAAGTATTTAACTTGTGAAAATTCTCAAAGCTTTGCTTTAAACGCTCATGCAATCACTTACTTTGAATACAGTCTGTTCTAAGAGTTACCTCCTAATAAATTAGTTATGTCACAAATGTAAGTGGTTTAGCCACAATATTCAATCAAACTAAATCCCAAATGGCCAATGGGAAGTCTGCACAGAGTACTAAAAAGCCTAAGCTATTTCTGGAACCATGTCAGTATTTAAATGCTGCGGTACTTTTAGTCGCAAATGAAGATCAGAGAGGATTGCTTGTATAGACTTATACCAAGAAAAGCAAAGTTAGAAACATAATGTATTCCTCGTACAGTTATCAGTGGGTAAATGCAGAACAATTCCTTGCCAACCAGCAGCACTGAAGCAGACCTTGACCACTTCACTTATTGAAGTAAACAAAACACTCACCTGAGAACGTATTATCTGCAAAACGCAACAGCAAACTGCTCTTGCCCACACCTATGACAAACAAAGACAGCAAGATCTTTGAATACAGTCATCTTGGGTGTCAGGTAACAAACAGTTATTTTACCCATCCACTGCACTTTTAACTCTAACTAGGATATTTTCCCAGCAGATAACTTAGTAGCATCCACCCTGACTATGCATCTCGGTACTCTCGAAGATTTCATCAAGCATGCTGCAGTCATTCCAAGACTTGGTATGCTTCTTGTAACAGTACAGGAGTGTTCTGGTCCCCGAAGCTTCCTCCAGCCCTCAGCCAACTCTCTAACAATAGCTTCTAAACTGTGGTCAGTTCTAGGAGGTCATAGAAAGAGTAATAACTAAAAGCAAGTTTATGATCAGTAGGCTTACATCTGTTAAGGAAAGATCAAAAAATGAGTACATCCTGCTAATTAACAAGTACTCAGAACACTGCTCTAAACTATTCTATTGAATTCCATTTGCACATCATGCTTACCACACTGCCTACCTCCCATTCATTATGCTGTGCTGAACAGCAGTGGAGTTTGGACTACTCTGACAATCAGGCTAGAGTTTGGTACTATAAAGCTTCTGTTATCATGACCATAGTTTAACAGAAGCCTAAACCAAACAGTAGAGTTGAGAACCATTGTTCTGGATTGCCATCCAAAATAGGCTTGTTCCTGATCTAGCAGGAAGGACACATACCTTTCTGAAGTTGTACCTTTTGCCAAAACGTCCTGTGAAACATTCCTCTAAATGCTCTGAGTACCACTTCATCCAGGTTTTCCTTAAATGATTGTTTGCACCCTGATCACACCCTGCTGCAGGGAAGCATTTTTCACAGTGCTTCAGACAAGAATCCTAAGAAATTCATCACTGCACACCCAACCAAGGGAACCTGAGTATCAGAATGCTTCAAACTTGTTATCTCTGCATAACATCTCTGCTGTTAATGTCCCTTCCCCCCTGAAAAGAAGTCTGCATAGCATGAAGAGGAAATTCAACTTCACCGGGGTGATTATCTATTAAATCTTTTAAGGCAGAAGTTATTTAGCTAATTATTTTGATGATGTATGACTTGCAAGTTCTTCTTAATAGAAGACCTATGCAAAGACTATACAGAACTCCAATAGTTCTCAGTTGCTGGCATCTGAAGATAGCTACCAGCAAAAAAACAGCCAAACTAAAAATCCGTACAATACCAGTACACCAGTTCTCATTTGCAAAGAGCTTAAATCACGAGACATCTGAAGAAGCCATGCTCATTTCTAGTTGAGTATTACAAATCTTTAAAGAGAAAAAATGCTACTAAAAAAAAAAGTTACAGTGTGCATACATTGAATACCTCTGAGCTCAAAAAAAGGTAGCAGAGCAGTTCCTGAACTTTAACAGAGGACTGGTTATTTAGCAAGTTAAACCTCTGCAAAATACCAGTCAGCTAAGGAAAAATAATTTTTTAAAAAAAAGGTTTCAGCAAGTACGATGCTTCTTGATCAAGCAGCCTTGGCCTCCAGCTTAGTAAAAAAAAAAAAAAGTAGATGCTGAAACCCACAGATTTGTCAGATCACACCACCTTCTTAAAACGTCAGCCAGGCTACGCTGCAGAGCTGCACGGGCCACACATGACCACTGCCTTGTCAGACTGTCCACTGCTGCACAGACACAGTCTTGTCTCTACTGCTTTCAGCACGCAGGCAGCTTCTAGAGAAGAGAAACCTCCTGAACTCAGGAAGTTCTACATGCTCCTGATGACAGCGATCTCACTAAACAAACACTGCCCCTGACCCACACTGTTCATGTATAGAGAAACCACACTCTTCATGACCCTCCACTTCCTACACAGAGTTATTTGAAGATCTGAAAAGAGAAGGCTAGCAGAGCTTCTTTGCTTGTTGAAGACAGAAAAACAAAAGGAAACAAAAAAATCCCTATTTGCAATCAAAATTAAAAGCAAATTTCTGTGTCAAACTGGTTTCTAAAACCCATATCTTACTGAATGGTAGAGTGAATTACAGAAGCACATGCAAAGCACAGATCATCTGTATTATTTTTAAATATATGGCACACCTGAGATCACCAGCAGCTTTTCAAGATGACCTGTTCTAAAAACACACAAACCTACTACCTTCTTGACATATTTGCATACAGGCGAAAGCAGATGAGACAGAATCATCCTATGCAGTATCAGTCCACTTCTTATTGCATGGAATAAACATCAATAAACAAGGCAAGCAAACTGTTTTGTGGAAGCAGGGACAAAGCCTTCCTATTGGGGCCAGCAAAAATTAAAAAGAAAACCAATACTCAAACTACATACTGAGATTTAATTACAACACCAGAGAACCCCCAGGTAACCTGACAATTCTCACACTTTTTCCTCTCACTGGATACACTACAGAGACTTCGCTCAAGAAGTCTCAGCTAAGAAATTTCATCTAATTGTTTAAAGTGAAAAGTCTTCCTCAGAGTTTTCACCATCCTGTTTATCTTGCCTGAACAGTTTTGAAACTCATCAGCAAGCAACAGAGTTACTGCTCTACTCAGAATGCAGCATTTGGTTTTAATAATCCATAGGCTTCCAAAACTGCCTAGGGCTTTAATCTGTCTTGAAGTTGCTGCCCCTTCTCCCTCTTCCTTTTATATTTCTTTCTGCAGAAACAGTTTAGTATGGAATGAAATATTTTTACATACAGCTAAAGCTTCTGGAGTTGACAACTGCCAAGATTGTGCAGCATTACACTTCTACCCAAGAGCCATGCCTCACTGCATGCTGGGACCTGCTGCCTTATGGACCACACCTCTATTAAAAAAAGAGGGTGGATGCCATCTTCTCTAGTTTATGGAAATTAAACTGTAAGATGTTGGAGTGTTACCAACACTGAACTGGACTGAAGGCAGGAATCTTCCCAGGCCCAATTCCTATGTACCTAGACTAAAGCACAAGACACAGGCTGAGTTCACATGCTACCCCTCCAGAAGTTTCCAAAACTGCTGCAGAAGTATTTACAAGTCTATTTTGAAAAATCTGTAACTATCCTTCATCCATAACCATTTTATGTATTTGCATCATATACTATACCTAGAAGTAAGCAAAGCTACCAGCCCTTTAAAAATTTACTAAAAAAAAGTGACAAACTCTAGAACTGAGACTTCAGGCTGAAGGACAGAAAGAGTCTTAAGAAATAATTAAGATCATAAAGAGTATTAATATGCAGTAGTTGCCACACTGGAAACAATGGTCCCCATGGCTGAGGAGCAGCCAGCCCTTCCCATCGATGCCTTAAACTGCTTGTCACAGGGAAGGGAATTCCCTCCTCATCCCAGCAGGAGATTAGTGGGCGCCCTCAGAACATGCGGCTCGCAAAGGCTGATACCAGCACGAACGCCGATGCTGTCCTCACTTATGCGTGCCTAATCTTCCTTTTCCTAAACCTAGCCAAGCTATTTACCATAATATCCTGTGGTAGCCAGTTCCGCAGGTTCATCAGATAAAAACTTACGAAGCCCAAGCAAAGGCGCCTTCTCATTCAAAGCGCGAGGTCCCCCGGCGACCCGCCCGGCAGAGCCCAGCGCCGCGGCACCGACAGCACAACGGCGGCGAAGCCCCACCGCCGGGGAACCGACC